TCTTGTAATGAAGCTTTATAAATGAATAACTTGTATTTTATCATAAATTATTAAACAACAACCGTCTTAGTATTTATGAGAAATAATGAAATATTAATTACTTTATTTAAATGAGTTTAATTATGTTTTGTGCTTAAGTTCAGGACAGAACTGCCCTAGACGTGTGGCGTGAGAATATTTTGGAATTTGTATTTTCATAAACGAAGTTAGAAGCTAGTACTTGTGAGAACGGGCATCATTTTTCTTCGTCACGCATTAAATTCGAAGTTTAAAGAACGTAGAATAATACTCTCTAACGGCTGGGAACCAGTAATTACAAGAACATTGTTAAAATCACAATTTATTTGCAACGGTTGACACTGTATGTCGTCATGCGTACCCCGTTTAGTTCACTTTAAACAGCTGTTACACCGTTATACGGATAGCTTTCGTCTAGATAAAGCACTCGAATTGTAGCTGAAAGAACGTAGATTAATCTGCTGCTATTGAAAATAATAATAAACGACCAGAACACTGTCAAAATCGCATTTAATTGCGGAATACCACTATTTTTTCGACCGGTGGCGCCACCCGTGGCAATTCGCTCAAACTGCTAGCCAAATTATATCGACAGGTGAGTGAAAATTTTCTAGTGATGGAAAAATACAAATATCTCAGTAATTAAGCACTTAAAATGAACGTCATTAGTCTCAAATTGTCCCTCAAGACTTAATGCATGGACCCAATAGTGCAGAACCCCTGAATTAGTAAAATTAGTTATGCCTGTATTGCCGTAGCCCCTTATGAGGCGGCAACTCTAATTGCGAAAGATATCGATCGCATTTACACCGCTAAACGGGCATGATTCTTCTTCGTTTTGCATTCGATACAACGTTTAAAGAACGTAGATTACTATTCTCTAACGGCTGGAACCCAGTAATCAAAAGAACATTGTTAAAATCACATTTGTTTGCAAAGGTTGACACTGTATCTCGCCATGCGTACCCCGTTTAGTTCACTTTGAATAACTCTTCCAACGTTCTATGGACGAGTCACGTATTGACCAAGCATTCAGTTTGAAGCTGAAAGAACGTAGATTAGTCCGCTGCCATTGAAAATAACAATAAACGACTAGAACACTGTTAAAATCGCATTTATTTACGGAATACCACTATTGTTTTGACCTGTGGCGCCACCCGTGGCGAATAGATGAAACTGCTTGCCAATTATATGGCTAGTAGTTTCAGCGATTCGCCACGGATGGCACCACCAGTCAAAAAAATAGTGGTACTACGCGATTAATTGCGATTTTAACAATGTTCTGGTCGTTTATTGTTATTTTCAATGACAGCAGATTAATCTACGTTCTTTCAGCTTCAAGCTGAATGCTTGATTAAGACGTAACCTGTTCATATAACGTTGGAAGAGCTATTCAAAGTGGACTAACCGGGGTACGCATGACGAGATACAGAGTCAACCGTTGCAAACAAATTCGATTTTAACAATGTTCTTGTAATTACTAGTGTCCAGCCGTTATAGAATGGTAATCTCCGTTCTTTAAACGTTGTATCTAATGCAAAACGAAGAAGAATCATGCCCGTTTAGCGGTGTAAATGCGATCGTTATTTCTCACAATTAGAGTTGCCGCCCCATAAGGGGCTACGGTAATACAGGCATAACTAATTTTACTAATTCAGGGGTTCTGCACTATTGGGTCGATGCATTAAGTCCTGAGGGACATTTGGAGACTAATGACGTTCATATTAAGTGCTGAATTACTGAGATATTTGCATTTTTCCATTACTAGTAATTTTCACTCACCTGTCGGTATAATTTGGCTAGCAGTTTGAGCGAATTGCCACGGGCGGCGCCACCGGTCGAAAAATAGTAGTATTCCGCGATTAAATGCTATTTTAACAGTGTTCTGGTCGTTTATTGTTATTTTCAATGACAGAAGATTAATCTACGTTCTTTTAGCTTCAAACCGAATGCTTGATCAAGACGCAACTTGTCCATAGAACGTTGGAAGAGCTATTTAAAGTGAACTAAATGGGGTATGCATCGCGAGATGCAGGGTCAACCGTTGCAAACAATTGAGATTTTAACAATGTTCTCGTAATATTGGTTCCCACCTGCCAGAGAGTACTAATCTGCGTTCTTTAAACTTCGAATGTAATCCATGACGAAGAAAACTGATGCTCGTTTAGCAGTGTAAACCCGATCGAAACCTGTTGCAATTACATATACCACTAAACAGGCAACACTTTTCTTCGTCATGCATTACATTCGAAGTTTAAAGAACGTAGAATAATACTCTCTAACGGCTGGGAACCAGTAATTACAAGAAAATTGTTAAAATCACATTTCTTTGCAACGGTTAACACTGTTCCACTGTCATGCGTACCCTGCTTAGTTCACTTTGAACAACTATTACAACGTTACACTAACAGTTTTCGTCTTGATCAAGCATTCGATTTGTAGCTGAAGGTACGTAGATTAATCCACTGTTATTGATAATAACAATAAACGACCAGAACACTGTTAAAATCGCATTTAATTGCGGAGTACCACTATTTTTGGACTGGTGGCGCCATCCGTGGCGAATCGCTGAAACTGCCAGCCAATTATGTGGCTAGCAGTTTCCGCGATTCGCCACGGGTGGCGCCACCGGTTATAAAATAGTGGTATTCCGTGTTTAAATGCGATTTTAACAATGTTCTCGTCGTTTATTGTTATTATCAATAAGAGTGCATTAATCTACATACTTTCAGCTACAAATTGAGTGCTTCAGCTAAACAAAAGCTGGCCGTATAACGGTGTACGAGCTATCCAAAGTGAACTAACTGGGGTACGCATGACGAGATACAGTGTCAACCGTTGCAAATAAATGTGATTTTAACAATGTTCTTGTAATTACTGGTACCCAGCCGCTAGAAAGTACTAATGCACGTTCTTTAAACTTCCAATCTAATGCATGACGAGGACAAATGATGCCCGTTCAGCGGTGTAAATGCGATCGAATTGTGGTTGCCGCTCCATGAGGCACCTGCGGTATTACAGGCATAATTAATTTGACTAATTCTGGGGTTTTGCAGTATTCGGTTGATGCATTAAGTCCTCAGGAATAATTTGAGACTAATAGCGTTCATTTTCAGGGCCTAATTACTGAGATATTCGCATTTTTCCATCACTAGAAATTCTCACTCACCTGTCGGTATGATTTGGCTAGCAGTTTGAGCGAATTGCCACCGGTGGCGCCACCGGTCGAAAAATAGTGGTATTCCATGTTTAAATGCGATTTTAACAATGTTCTCGTCGTTTATTGTTATTGTCAATGGCAGGGCATTAATCTACGTTCTTTAAGCTACAAATCGAATGCTTTGTCAAGACGAAAGCTGTTAGTGTAACGTTGTAATAGTTGTTCAAAGTGAACTAAGCAGGGTACGCATGACGGGGTACAGTGTTAACCGTTGCAAATAAATGTGATTTTAGCAATGTTCTTGTTATTACTGGTTCCCAGCCGTTAGAGAGTATTATTCTACGTTCTTTATACTTCGAATTTAATGCGTGACGAAGAAAAATGATGCCCGTTCAGCGGTGTAAATGTAATCGAAATCTATCGCAAGTGGGATTGCCGCCTCAGAAGGGGCTACAGTAATACAGGCATAACTAATTTTACTAATTCAGGGGTTCTGCACTATTGGGACCATGCGTTAAGTCCTGAGGGACAATTTGAGCCTAATGACGTTCATTTTAAGGGCTTAATTACTGAGATATTCGCATTTTTGCATCACTAGAAATTTTCACTCACCTGTCGGTATGATTTGGCTAGCAGTTTGAGCGAATTGCCACTGGTGGCGCCACCAGTCGAAAAAATAGTGGTATATCGTGTTTAAATGCGATTTTAACAATGTTCTCGTTGTTTATTGTTATTGTCAATGGTAGGGCATTAATCTACGTTCTTTGAGCTACAAATACAATGCTTGTTCAAGACGAAAGCTGTTAGTATAACGTTGTAAGAGTTGTTCAAAGTGAAGTAATTTATAAGTTTCGAGGTTGTTGATACAAGAATAAATTGAAATATCATTTTTATTAAGATAATTAATTACGTGCTTAGTATTGTACTTATTTATACAGATTTCTTTAAGAAGAAATGAAGTAATAAGAATTGGGAGGAAGGTTGTGATGGAATTAATGAACAACGCATATGTACCGTTTTATTGTCTTTTATATAAACAATTCGAAGGAAATATACAGTTTATAATATAAGATCACAACCCATATAGCACACAGACGTCTTTACGACGGCTTAAAGACGTCTGTTTCAGTCGTTCCAGTCGCCTTTCAGACGTCGTGAACAGCTACCAATAACCATACGTCAGGTAATATAAGCTTCATTTCATCGATTTGCGTTAAATATAACTGCATAAACAGTGTACTATCTTATACTAATTATACTAGATATACCATCATATCCAAGATGGCGGAAAAACCTCCAAGTTTGTGACGCCCTCGTGAGGGCCTGGGGACCCCCACAAATATTATATGCTGTGTTTACATAGAGTATATTGAAGAATATTAAAATTCCTATATTATAAATTTAATATTCTCTTCTGATTTCATTATTAATCATATATCAAAGTGATGAAACTATTAGGAATGATTCATAACGCATTTCTAAATTTTTTTCAGATTTTTCCTGAATTTTGTCCAGAACATAACAAGGAAAATGATTGAAAACATAATGTTAAGATCATTGTATGATTCTCTTTGCAGAGTTAAAATGCAAAAGGTAAGAGTGATACTCTCAATTTGTGGTTTGTGTACATATATATAATCTAAAAACTAACCTTTGCAGCATTTATGGTTTCATCCATTTCAAGGATATTCTCAAGTAAAATTACAAAAAATTCTAAACGATAATATAAGTAGAGAATTACTCTTAAATAAAGAAAATGAAATTTTAATAGCAGCACATGAGTGTGATAAAGAAAAATTACAAAAGTGAGTATAATAGGTACCATTATAGGTTAACATTAACCTATTGATAAGAAAACATTAGTATATTATGTAGGCACAATTTTTAATTACTTTATCATAATTAATTTTACTGTTACATAGATACGTTAAAGGACCATATGCAGAGACAATAATATTGCATTGTGTCACAAATGGGCCTTACAAGTCCTTTAATGATTTGTTATCCATAAACAATATTGAGAATGATATAATGAAGGAAACTTCTATTTCAGTTACTGATAAGAAAGTCATAGACAGACATAAAAGATGTAAAATAATACCTACAGTGAAGAAGATGAAAGAGGTATGGACAGATTAATTGTAATATTTCAGATTATGTTCATGGAATTATATAATTATGGAAATTACTTTAGAGGCCAAAAGCAACATTAGGAATTCATGTTGGTCCTTCCATGATAAGCTGGGCATTTGTAAATAACGATTTTAGAGTATTAAATTGGGACTGGGAACCTTGGTGTAATATTAAGTCTAAAAATGTTACCTATAATACGATCAGTATGGTGAGTATTCTGACATTTAGTATCAAAAAACAACTCAGTGTATTAATTAATTTTCTGTCTGATGTTAGGCATCAAGTATAGTTGAAAAGTTACCTGAAGCCAATGCTTATGTAATTGAAGATGTGCAAATTCTAAATAAAGGAATAAATCGGATGATGTTACATCTGCAACAACAACTAATTGTTTCTGTAATGGCTTGTCTTAGACTAAGAGGGAGTATGTTCATATTTTATTATTCAGATTATCGTTGTATAATCAGTGGAACGTTAATTAAATATCATTTACTTCTCCAGGGCAGTTATCATCATCTTCTGAGAGTGATGTATATGTGATGCCTTACAGTACAACAGCACGCATGTTTAATCTATTAGTTGGGTCTGAAATAGTATCTTCCAATTCTATTGTGAAAAAGATAATAGGAAATGCTATTGAACCAAATAACAAAAAATTGTGTGTAATTATGGACATAGAAATTAAAGAGAAATACGCACGGTTGAATTGTGATGAACAAGAGCAAGCAAACTTGTCTCTATTAAGGGCCTTATCGTTTTTACGTTTAATTGAAATTCAAAATGATTTAATGCCAAAAGTCGAAAGATGGAGCTAGTTTGGAGTTTAGTGTTTTCCAACCTTTTTTTCTGTTCAAATAACATGATGTAAAATATTGAAAGAAAAAATAAAGTGAATGTCATTGTATTTAATGAGACATTTACAAAACAATAGCTTCATTATAGAACTAGAGAAAACAACATACAAAAACGTTTGCGTCTTCTAATCACAGTTACTTAACTTGAGAACCAGCAGCCAAAATTTCAGGGAATCAAACGAAAAACAAAATGGGGACTTTCGACGGAGTAATATGTGATAGGTGTACAGGTCCATTCATTTATTATATATTAATTTTCATTATACTATCTATTCATAGTACACTGTACGTCTAATGTTTCTCGCTTCTCGAATACGAACTCGTCTCGGGCAAATAAACAGACAAGTAACGTTTTTGACGTAATGGTAACGGCCAGTGTCGTGTTCGCCCATACATGTTTACCATTCACGAACAATTTGAGTAAGTATACGAGAGCAAGATGTCAGAGTAGTGACTGTTTCGTGAACATAGTCAACGAATTTGTACGATGAACTAAAAGTACATGGTTTGACAATATCTCTGTGTCGAAACTTGTAATGTCAAATTAGGTAAGGCTCGTCAATAAAGATAGTAACACCGCTACTTAATCCGGCAGTGATGCTGTATAAGAAGCATGTAACTACGTATCATTGTTTAATCGAGCACGGATAAAAGCACATTACGTCACATAGTTCTCTACTGTATGTATCCGAAGTTTCGCTTTTCAGTACAATCACATTGACCACCATCGAACACTGCACTTCCTCACGGCAAGAAATATGTGTGAGAACCGAAGACTGACTTCACCGATATTCGGTAGAGAAACGAGAATTGATTAATATCCTTGGTTACGGATTGTTTTAATCGCGTGTGTCTATGCTCGTGTGGGCTGTAAACTTGTCTCTTGGTTGGAACCAATTAATCTATCAGAAAAATGTGTGTAACAACAGAGGCAGAAAGGGAATCGATCGGGAAGTCAACCCTTTAAGCCTCTGGTCTTTTCTACATCAGTGTTATATAAACAGAATAGCAATTCATAAATGGACAACAATTGAATTTCAATTCCCGTATTCATGTGAAGAGACTGTTTCACGCACCAATTGTGTCATTAATGATTTCGTTTTGCAAACGATGACTTATCCATACCGTTTACCGGTCTTAATATAATCGCATATAATTGTTCCTATGAGTCGAACAACAGAAGCATTAACCATTGCACCATTTTTTCACTTTCATTGCCAATGGACTACGATTTCACTAAACTGTCGTCGACATGACAGTGTACGCTATACAATAAACTATATGTGATTGCACGCGCCACTTTTTCCATATAATGTTTACTCGCAATCGCATCGCTGCCAGGTTAACGCAATTTATAATTATTAAAGTAATACCCGATCAGACCAGCTGGAAACGAGTCTCGACATATATATGTATATCGACATATCTAATATATAATTCTGTGTATATATAATATATCTATATGTATATATACGTATGTGCACGTCTGTTTACGCTACAACACATCGTGAAACAGAAAAACGTTTAAGTACGTTATTAATAATTACTATCTTCTTTTTTTGTCTGTTTGCTTGTTTGTCTGTCTGTCTGTTTGTTTGTTTGCATCTTTATAGTTTACAACACTTTTGTAACTCGAGAGAGAGACATTCTTACGCAAGCGTATACGTGTATAAAATCTAAACCAGCTTAAAACGTACATCTCTCATGGACCGCGCACCGGAGCGATATCACCCGCTCGCTCGGACGTGCAAAACGATGCGGTTTTGAGCATCATAGAATAGAACGGGAACAGAACTGTGACAATCTCGGTAATATTGTTGTTGCGATCTCGAAAGTACGGATGTTCTGCTCGGTAGACATGCAAAAAGTCGATACGGTTACAACATTAAGTGATTTGATATCGAAATCCACAGTTTGCCTCAAAGTACACAAAAGTATAATACAAGTTCTTCGTACCAATCTTCAGTTGTCACGTAATCAATTTCAAACACGCATGTTTGGATTTACGACGCGCTTTCAAAACCGATTACAAATCACAAAGTATTGTACGAAGAAAATTCTTGCACACTATTCATACATTGTTTTTTTTTTTTTTTGATCACGAAAACATACAGATCGACCGTGTAATTTGAGACAGCCTGTGCAGCCACGGGGCGTTACTCCGCTAAACTCACAATTCCTCTCGCAAAACACACAGATAACACTCAAACGATCTACTACGCATAAAAGAACGGTTCTCCGCTCGTAGGCGGATTAGGGTTTTTTTCAATAACGCTGACGTGTTTTTGTAAATATACTCGAAGCCGCCCGGAATGGATTTCGCTATTCGGTCTAAAATCACGCTAAAGGGGCACGCACTCGCGACGATACACCTTGGTCCATCGCGATCAATTTCCCAACGTGTTCGACGACTCTTCAACCATTCGATACCCTGATAGTATTACAATAGTACGACTTATTTTATTCGAGCGTGTCCCTCGAATACCCGCGCGTTTCTTAGCTCAGTAGAACAGCCTCGATCCAGGCAAAACACACACAGGTGCAATATTCCATTAACAAGACAAGGTCAACGAACGGTTCGACGGCAACAGTTTTTCACGCACACACTCGTTTACGGTAAAGTTACACATCGCCGCGGGTCACCTAAACCCTCGGCGAAAGGACGAACAATTGTTTAAATGAAAGCTACGTATTCTAACCCAGTCTACCCCGTAGGTCACCTTTCTTTTTTTCAATCTCGACCGACGGATCCTTTTTCGAACCTACATCGAACGCTGGGTATTTTGAATCCGAAAGGGTCTAACCGGGCGGACGATATACGGAAATGGGAGTACATTGTACCGCTTGTCCTAGTTTCGATATCAAATATCGTTAATTCCCCTGGCCTGCATGCGATGTACTCTCCCCCCTGCCCTTTAATTACAGACGAGTCTCTCACGGTACGTCACGCATTCCATACGTCGCTGTCAGATTAAGCAAAAACGCAATCGAACCGATGCGATTGCACCGATAAGGCGCGGTGTTCGTCAACCAAACATGTGTATATAACCGTTTCGGGGCACGAAAACGGGAGCAGCATGGTAATCGAAACGCGGAGGATACATATAGACGTGACTGTTTCCGCGTCGTGCGAGAGGCTTTCATACGAATGACACCGGACGATTGTCGATACGCAATCGAGCTGTTTGCTCATATTGCTCTGTTTTAACGGGTCGAAAGATTGGGGAGATTCCCACCCTCAAGACGTCTGGCTATCGCGGCTCGATTTTCTTTTCGCTGGTAGAACCTGCAAGTTATACGTATGATACGGAGCTTTTGCCCAAGGATATAGGCAAGACAATTTGGTCGATTACGATCATTTCCCCCGGGACCGATTATGTACGTACAAAGAATAGAACGAGTACAGTGAACATCGAAAGAAGAACATTAATACGATAGAGAACACGCTTGACCATCAGAAGTCAAAGATCCTGAGATGAAACAAACTAGATAGATATTACACGGGTACTGCTTTTGGGGATCACTATGCGGTTTCCATTCTCTGTACGTGATCCACGTTTTTTTTTTGTAAGTTCTGAAATTCCCTCGTTGGAATTTTACAGAAACTGGTTTATATTTTGAACACAGTGAAACGATACGGAAGCGGTAGCTTAACGAGAACTTTTCCCTTTCTACCACGATCGCGTGAACGTCGTCGGGGGTTGTGACATTATCGTCGCTAACTGTAGGAAGTAGACAAGACGGCGGTGATATTTCGCGTTCTTCTTTCACTTATTTACTTTACACACTCGCGCGCGTTCCGATAGATGCAAGTTTGCCTAGTACGGCGTATGATCTTGTTTTTAGACACACGATTAGAAACAACGAGAGTTAGAAAACAGAAAAGAAAAGCGCGAGTAAAATAATCGCTGGTTCCGTTGCCGTTGTTTTTTTTCGATTGAGATATTGGTCCGAGGGTAGGAGACTGTTACACTTAGACAGGGCTACGCGTGTGTGTTTCAACGTACAAACAAGCTCGGTCTGTCGTAGAACGAGGCGTCGTAGAAGATTGTGCACTAGGAACACGAGATGGTTTTGTCAGCGTCGATTTTTAGAAATTTTGTTTCTCGGGTTCGGTAGAAAGCGACTGCATCAATCTGACTCCCCGAGACTCTATCGAAACACCGAGGAAGAGTCTTCGATTTTTAAAGCGTGTCTCTGGCCGCAACATAAAGAGCCCCCTAATATGATCTACGGACACACACTTCCAACGGATCCGAGGCCAACCATCGATCAACGATGGGCTCGAAACTTTCCCTCTCAATTGGAATCTCGTTAATGTCGCGGCTCGCGAATGATTTACATGGAACGGTTGGGGCGAAGCAACCAAGAAGGTAGTCAATGCTTCGGTAGCACGCGATCCACCGCTGCAACCCATCAACCTGACTCTCTTCGGTGTGCAGCACACCACGTTCTCGCGTGAAGCCAGAAATATTCATTGCATCGCTATACATGGACTAGATTGGGCGAGAAAACGGAGCACCGCGGACTCGAGCGAAACCTGGCATTCCTCTCGAGGTCCGCAAGGATCGCTGACACCGCAACGGAAGCAAAGAAAAAGAAACGAAGAGGATTCAGGAACGCCTGGCACAGCGAGGGCCGAGCTAACGATTTTCGTTCCGGATGCGGCAGAACGCGCTTACGAACGCGGTTCGGTGATTTTATCGCTGATTAGTTTTAATGACGATGACACGAAACGGTACAACCGTACGGGGACGAAAATTCGCTGACGACAGGAGAGGCTCATGCAAATCAAGTAATAAATTACTGGCTCGGTCGCCTCTCTCTCACATACACACGAAGGGCAACTCGTAACACATGTAGGATGAAACCACACTCGGTTAGAAGATACATACAGTATAACGTGAACTGGGTCAACTCTACTTAAGCGTTTACACTTAATTTATCGAATGTTGGCTCCGCACAAATAAGTACGCCGTCTAAATATACTTTTCAATTCGGTGTGCGAGAATAGTCTTCCACTATATATATATACTCGATCGTTAACGATATATATATATATATATATATACATATATATATACACGTCGCGTATCTATCCTCTTTTTTTAATTGTTCGATTTTTCTTTTTCTGTTTCTAATTAGACGTTAACGATCGAGTCACTCGAGTCGCCGATTGGAACTGCTAGTAACGATGCAATCAACGATCAATAAAGTTCGGTCAATCGTGTGTATGGGGAATACTTCAATTCCAAAGATATTTCTATAAGTCCTCCGTGTTCGTTCCTTTTTCTGTTTTCCAGTGTTCTTTTCGTTTTGGAAGCTGTTTTTAATGCGAGATATATTTTTCTGTTTGTTTGTTTGTTCGCATACATAGAGCTACGTGCGAAAGGAATAAAATACTCTGCTGAAAATAATATCACAGCCTGGAGAGACACGGTGGAAGACTAAAAGCCACTTGACTAATGCGACTTTGCGAAATTCGGAAACGATTATAAAACATTTGTGAAACGAGATGATACTAAAACAAACATGGCACGGTGCGCGCTGGAATTCCGATTGAAAATCCCCTTCGCTGTGTACTTATGGATTAAAACAAATCAGGGAGAACAGATTCATTATGCGTAAATGACGGTGGCCTCGAGAAATGCTCGGCAACATAACCTTCGCCGGTGAATACCACGAATTGTTAGCGCCCCTTTGATCGGTAATGAACGAGGAATATACTGTCGGACGTTCTAGAGAGGCTTTAGCAAGCAGCCGCGGTTAGACATTGTTCGCTGAACGTTACGGGTATCTACGCGCCAGCAAGCTGGTCTTATATTATTCGAGAGATGAAAGTTAAAGCATCGGAGAAATGAAGCACCTACAACAGAACAGCCTTGAACAACCAAGTTATTCGACTGTATTTACAAAAGTGTCTCGATACTAAAGCCGACCAAGAACATTCCTCGCTCATACCGTCGAGTAAAACCCTGTTGCTACTTTGCTCCTTGTTTCGTTTACAACACACACACTAGTCTTCTCCTCCTTTCCCCCTTGATTGTGATATTATTTAGAAAGCTTACCGTTTATAATTGAGTTTCAGTCGCACAGTAAAATACATAGTTTCGTAATAATAAAAATTACACATCGTACCGTGTCCGCGGTCGCCCGCGAAGGGAAAACATGGCGGCCCGCGCACGGCCATAAAGAGTGACTAGCATACGCACTTGTTCGCACAACGTTCAGATCAGTTTCAATCCGTTCTTGTTCATCATTCTTTTTATCACGATGCTAGACGTATATCATACATGTATAACGTGTATCATACACGTGTAACAAAAATAGGTTCATAGGTTCTTTTGGTCGAGTCTGTTACCAGGATTCACCGATAAGACACACATGATGAACGTGCCCCAGACCCGGGGGATGGTGCAGCCATTTCTTTCACGGTACCCCGCGCATGTACCACGAACCAATGGATCGCGCGCGATATTAGATAGTATAAGAGACCCTGAGAGATAAAAATACGAAGGACATAGAAAAACGTCACTCTCAATTTGTCCTTTTCCCTTCGTCAATCGCGACACGATCATCGTCCGTTCGAGAAGCGAACCGGTACTATTCTGCGAAAATAATGGCTGTACAATCGAGTCTGCTCTGAAAAGTAGCTGCTCGATTCGTTTCTCTTTTTGTTTGTTTATACGCTGGTACCATAATTTTGAAAATACCTATGAAATGGTTCAATAACCATAGACGTTGGAAACGGTGAATAACAAATTGTGTGGTGATAAAGAGTACTATCCGTAGATTGAAAATATATAGCGATGTGCGCCACAGCAAGCGTTTTCTATTTCAATTTGTAATAAACAATCATAGGCGATAACAAATATAAATAATACGGACATTATCAATATAATTCGGCGCAATCTATTGTGCGCGTCTATAAACAATTAAATAAACGGATGTCGTATTGTGCGCTACACAAATATATGTATACATATTTGTATATATATATATATTTTCCTCATTAATACTTTCTCGTTAACGCAAAGAGCAACTCGTAAAATTAGGAACATGGGAGTTAGGAAAATTGACCTGTTAAATGTAATAGAGATGGTGGTTTCTACTCAGGTATCATCGTTAGACGGAGATTAGACGAAACGTGTAATATTTGAAACAAGGCAACCCCCCTCCCCCCTACTCCTTCAACTTTGTTTCCACTCTGTACTCTCTTTTTTTGAAATCTAACATAAATGCCACGTTCTCGTATAAAATAGTTACTGTTTCTCTGTTAAAAATTGTAACGTAGATTCTAGTAATTGCTCTAACTTGCCCGTTGTGCTCTTTGCCTTTTGCATTTTAATTCATCTAGCATAGCATCATAGCTATGAATTCATTGTAGAAACACACCGATCATCGGGATCATAAAACGTGCAGTTCCGTTACGAAGTCTTCCCGAATAATTAAGCTAACATTTTCACAATAAGCTATAATATTTATATATATATATTATATATATCAATAAAAACTCTTCTTCTACTACACGAAGAAAAACATAACGCAACGATACTGTATCAGTATCTTTAATTCCCTCCGGCAAAACCAGAAGAGACCATCGAGGTGTTCGAAATAATTTAATTCATCGAATAATGAGATGTCATTGTTGTATGGTGGAATTACAGCTCCCAAAGTGTGTCAGATATAAGAATAGAGAATGGCAATAAAACATACATCGTTTGAGAACTGCATGAACCGGTCGATACGTTGCATCAATCCCGAGTATTTCTTTCCCTTTTCTTCCGTAAACATTTCGAATGGACAACCTTGTTTCGTAATTACTCAGACTTGTACGCATCCTGTGAACGATCGAGCACACACGACAAGATAATGTAATACTTGATGATCTGATGCAGTCTTTAGAGAGAGTTCCATCAGTACCGTGTGACGCGACTACGAACGGTCGAGAGAAGCCTATATATGTCGGTTAGCGTTCCATTGTATCCTTTCAGTGTGTGTCATAGGTACAAACTTGGTAACTATTAAACGACGATTCCTTACTGGTACACGTCTAAGTGAACAGTCATTACGAAAGTCGACTTGAGATGATTACTTGAAACACGCGGATGAGATTCATTTAAAGTGGGTGGTACGAGTTTTTCTTTGTGCTCATCTTACATTACTGTACCAAAGTCGTTTAGGGCTCCCCTTTAGTACAGCAGTGCAACGTATCACTACTTGCGGACAGTTCATCGGATATCGGTTACGTTAGCTTTGCTGCCAAAGATTTTGACTAGCTGATCTTCGTAATCGTCGATATTACGCTTCATGAGTTCCATGCAAGGCCCAAGTAAACGTTCGAAAGCTTCAACGTCCAAAACTGAAAAATTTGTTTTTAAACACCATGTGTCTTGTTACCAACCATACTACTTCACACAGAGACACACACCCATGCACACCAAATAACTGATCTTCCACTAGCGTAAGATAGTATTCATACTTTTAAAACTATTAATTGACAGATGATCGTGGTAGTATCAGATTGCTGATAAAACCTGGTAATACATATTAAATAATACATTTTTAGATTCTTTCAACGTCTGGTTATGGAAAGAATTGACCCACAATTTTCTGACTATAAGAATTTCTTGAAAGTTTTCGGATTAAAATTGTATATCAACACTGTAATAAACAACAACCTGATTCTACCGATGGAAACATATTGAATGATAACTTACAGGCCAGCTTTACGTCGCCCACAGCGTAGGCCGAAGCAGCGCGAGGTTTATGTGTCACGAGCGCCAGCTCGCCTAAGTACCCACCAGCGGGAACTCTATTAATCTGCGACAGCAAATAGAATACCAAATGACATCTATACAATTGACAGTGTAATTAGCGTGGCGGTCAGATGTAGCCAACCACAAGCAGTACAAGAAGCCTCGCCGTTTTGAGTTATGTAGGTCGACGATCGTTGCAATTATATTTTACGACGGAAAAAAATGGAAACCAATGTACACCAATATACATACCTCAATCTCGCGACTGAGATCTCCAATTATGGTTATCTTGACGACACCGTCTTCGACAAAGTACATCCCGTCGGCAGTGTCGCCTTGCCTAATTATTCGCTCGCCGTCCGAATACTGTTTTGGTACCAGGGCGTCCGCCAGGTTCATGCGCTCGTAGGACTAAAGGAACGGAATATCTGGTTTGTTTAATACTGTATTACTGTGGACTCACTTAAGTCGACCTTATAGAGGGAACTACTTGTTGCATAATAAGCGGGGTGGGGTCGAATCTGATCCAACGAAGGGAAAACAAAGATCATACTTTCACGAACTACATATTACGCCTTCAGCGACGAACATTACACAAAGTGTACGCAAAGTTTCAGGTGGTCGTACCGCTATAGGCAATCAGATACGACATTTTTAAACGTAGGTCAATTCGACCCCACCTTGCCAATTGTCTCTAACTCGCGTGGATCTGTTCAAGTACTCGATGTCCTAGTGAACGTTTATGTTCCCGTTCTGTCCAGTATTCTCTTCGATTATCACGAGAGGTGGTATCCTCTTTCGGTACGAGGCTATCCTGTGAAACTTGCCTCGAGAGACTTGAGCATCGGGACCTTGTTGATAAGATCCTCGTACATCTTGCGCTTCTTATAGGCGGACTTCAGGAGTATACGCCGGAAGGTTTGCCTGTCCATGGCCCACAATGTGCCACACGTTATGGCCTTGATAGTGGCCGCTCTGGGCATATTGTAAAGAAGCGCGAGCTCGCCGAATGCACCACGGTTATCGTAGACGTGTATCATGGTTTCCACGTTCGTCTGCGGGTCTTTCACGTACACCTCGAATTTTCCCCTGTAAAAACGTAGTCGGTTCCATTCAAAATATAATCCGATTCACACGGTTCTATCGGTGTTTTACATACCGAGAACGGAACAAAAAACGGAAACATTACCTCTCGATGACGTAGAAGTTGTCACCGTCGTCACCTTGCCGGATAATATATTCCCCCGGTAGCACGCTTTTCTCGAACATCGCGTCCAGCACGTCCGCCATTTGTTCCTGCGAAAAAAGAATTCGTGCGTTGCGTGTGTACTGCGTGCCGTGAATATCCGACAACTGGTGTCGGCTGTTTTCTAGCACTCAAGGCCGACAACGACGATCGTCGTAAGTAGGTTCGTTCTGTAGCGAAATTTTTAAACTTTGAGAGTGCTCCGACACGAAGAAACACCGCGTAGTACTATTCCGGAGCTCAGAATATACCCTAACCGTTAGTTGCATTCGTGAGAAATTGCTTCCTATTATAGAATACACGTAGACTAAAGAGTTAAGAATAAACTGTACTCGCGAAGAGCCCTATGTACACGATCGTTAGAGCAGGCCTAGAAATTTTCCTGATTGGCACAACCTGACTAATAAATTAGTGGTTATTAGGTGGGTAAAATATGTATAATAAGATATTGGAAGTAACGTAAGAGGAGCTGCGTGGCAATCATTAGAGGTTTATATTTGTATCTATTCAGATTGGTTCCCTCGGAGAGGCTGCACCCCCCCGGTTTCTGAATCCCAGTTGAGCAGATTACACGTACTCATTGGCATTTCCACGAGTTGGCGCGAACTCTCGGTCGCTCTGTATTCCCGTTTCAATTACGGGCAGAGGCGACGCGGAGTAGGTACGTACTATGTTTAACTTACCTCGTCTAGGGCCCGAAACAGAAGAATATTCTTGACGCTGTCGCTGAGCCTCTGCCGTTGCTCGTCGCTCTTCGGGTGCACCATCTGTAATCGATTAAAACGGAACGATTAATTCGATTTGCCCCCGTGATTACTAGGGTAAAATCTAAGCGACGTTTTGTCTCGTATAATGAATCATAGCCGATAATTTATTTGTACACGGTAACGGCGATTAGAGAGGGTTCTAATTGCAATCGATGCTCATTAAGGTCTCTGCTGTTTAATATTTCGATCGTGTCTTATTCGCGAATTCCTGATTAATCGGCTTACCAGCGAGGTACTCGGACAATTAACGCACACGATAAACATATAACGTAAAGTATACAGGTAACATATGTAATAAATAACGGGAGTAATATGACTAACGACTACTTATATAATGAACGAACCGTGCGAACAACATATTAAACAACAGGAATACCGTTCGAAAGAAAACGACAATTACCGTGAATAAACACGTGTATTGGATGACTACGAAGAACAAATAACAAGCCACGTGAGCGACGTGAATATCGAATGGGGGGAGGAGTATACGACCATAGAGTCACATATCGTGTAATTCACGAAACGAGGGCTGATCTCGAAATATTCTGGAGGAATTACGATCGTCGTCGCCGGTACGCGTCGATATTATAAATTAATTGCGGCGTGATCGATCGAAAACGGTTAGGCCTGAACACGTCTCGGTTATATAAAAAGAAAGGGTTTCCCATTAGGCGCGCGTGAGTAGGTTACACAGCACGGTAAGTTTGAAAAATATGTATAAAAAAAAAAAGAAGAGGAGAATGAACAAGACAAAAATCGAACTCTTCTACGATCGTAGGGTTCAGCTTATCATATTAACTGACTCGTGTCACGAAGAACGTGAATCGGAGTATATAATTGAAAATCACAGGATTCAACGTAATTCGAAATTAATCGAGTCGATCATCTACAGATGTTTCGAATCACACGATCTGCTTTTTTTAGATAGCCAACGGCAAGGGATAAACAAATCCCGAGTCGCTATTTCGTTTCACGTTCTCTGACCTTTCCGCTCGGGCAGGAGCCGAGCTTACAAGACAGATGGTCGATCCTCCTTTTGTTTCCATCCCGCCTTTTTTTTTCCTTTTGCCTCGCCGTTTCGCGGTGGACTGTTAAACGGTGTCGGGTGTCAACCTTTAGTCTCTACTACTCGCGCACGTCTCCGCGAAACACCTGCTACCGTTACACACAAGAGGGGAAAACGCTTCTTCTGCCTGCTGACCTACCAACGCGCCTCGGCGTTTATGCCGTTCCTGTTCTCGGAACGAACGTCTCAATTAATCTATCCGCATCTTAATCGCGTGATAATGCCGCGCGACGCTGGGTACGAACGCGCCGTAATTAACATTTTCAGCCCGCGAAGTTTACTCGGCTGCTGCGCCTGCTAGTTTACAATATATCCCCGCGGGGCACAACTTTCAGAAACTTCGTACCGATAGCGATAAACTTCGAGACAGAGGACAATTAATAACGCATCGGTCGGTGCTTAATTGCTCCAATTAGGATTTCATCGAGGAAAATATCGAATGTTCCGATGAGAAACATATTTTTTCTTCTCGAAGTGCACCGCCCTTCTGTTTATGTTACGCATATGTTATATTCATCGGGTGGTCTATTAAAAGGAACAAGAGGTTTCTACGTCTATACTATACTGTTGTCGTAAAGATATTAAACGAATGTTGTGGTGACAAATCTAGACGGTTAACGTGGGACGAAAAGAGATGCAAAGATCCAGGAGCTATTTTTTTCCCCCCCGGAGTGATCAAGGTCATCGATGTCCCTTCGAGTGGAACCAATATGTCTCCTTCGCATATGATTAGTAGTGCATGTACTGCGGAATATAGTATGACTCACTAAACATGATGAATTGTACCAGCGACCTTGATCATTCCAATACAAAAATCTGTCTGGTGTATAGGATCTTTGCATACTACTCTTCTCCCTCCTTCCCTCCTCGGCGTCTCGAATACTTTCCACGAGACAGACGATTAGATGATTCTGTTTCTAATGGACCACATTATACATATATCGTTGCCACGCTTTCGATCCAGTTTTTAACGGTTCAGGTGCCCGATAATCGTGATCGTCGATGTCTTTTGAAATGCTTTCGAGCAGTACGATCCCGATCTGACGAGGCTCACCCGTGTCTCACCTCTCTCTGTCCCGCTCATTCACGAACACGCTCACGTGCCGCGTATGTGTGTATGTATATCATACATATGTAAGTCACGTCGGTACCAGGTTATCGAACACGCGCTCTGACGTCACAAAGGTACATCGCTCGCATCGTCGAGCAAAGTAAATCATCCCGTTTCGTCACCCGCGCAGCCTGAATACGGTGTCTCGATAGGGAGGGGATAAAAAAAAAGATCGGCTGTTTTTCTATATTTCGTATATATGTACCATGCATACGCTCGACCATCCGACGAATATTCGGCCGATAAACTTCGACTCTGTGAGGCGACGTCTTCTGCGAACCGCGTGCGGTTTCACCCGAACCGATCGGCCGTGTTATTATTCCAACGAGTCATAAAGCATCCATATTTAGATGTTATACACACACACACACACACACATACACACACACACACACACATCGTTTCTGCTTGCTTATACGTGTACAACGTAATGGTGTACGAGACACGTTTAATCGTATCCTCCTCGTCTTCCAATGTACCGGAATAAAGGGTTTTTCGGTCCCTTCGCTAATGGACATATTTAACGCGAAGGTATAATATATATTAAGTCTGTCCTTAACGAATTCGTTTGTATTCTCCGCGCCCAACAGTCGATTCTTGCTCCCCTGCGTCCGATTAAATTCTGGCGATCGATTAACGATTCGATACACGCACACTCCGCTCGAAAGTAAATATCGTGATAGTATGGTTCCTCGTGTAACACGATCGAGAGCGAGATGCGATCGATAATGAAAAGGAAATTTCGTTAAACAGAATTAATGGCTGATAAATAACGAGAAAGATTGACGAAAGTATGATCCATGAATCAAACGTACCTTGGCTCCATCGTCCTCCTCATCTTCCTCGGGATTATAAGTCTCCGCGAAGACGCTCTAGCGAACCTTCCGACCGGCGGTTCTGTAACGGTAGAAGTAACCTTGAGCATTCAAATTAAAGCACTGACACTAACAATATCTTTATTTGTTAAATACTCTTCGAAGTTATCCGAGAAAACCGAAAAATGTATTTAAACCGTGTTTAAAAACGGAGCAATCTTGTAAATAAACCGAAGTAAGTCAATGGTACAAGTTCTGAGTTTTTAAATTCGATACACAATTTATAAAAACGCACATAAATCGCAGGAAAAAGTACCGTACCGATATCCATTGATAGGTGTGTATGCAAATATTTCAGAAAACCGCGAGAATCGGTGACACCGGTCGAGTTACACAGAGCTAACTGAAGAGTCGAATTTCTAAATCGAAGCGGTACCGCTAACGGCGCGTTTATAACTACACGGCGCGGCGGATTATGTGTATGTATATCGGTCGGTTGCGCGACGGCTACTGGACGCGATGGGAAGTCGCATCCCGAATGAAAATTCGCTCGCTCACCTTCATCGACAGACTCGTCCGGCGTAGAGGAGCAGGTCTGCGCAGTGGGCTGGATCAACTGAGTCTGACGGGATTCTCGTAGTTGCGTGAAAAAACCTACAGCATAGTCGATAATATCCACCGGTTGCTCCAATAGGTAGCTGATCGTGAACTCCAACAAAATGTCCCGTAGCTCGTCTGGCACCGTAATCTTGCCAGCGTTCCGTTGACAACTCATTTTTTCCCCACACCAAAACGATGTTACAAGCGACACGCTACAATGGCATACGCCGGCAACGGGCCGGCCGACGAGTCACAGGCTGGTCTATTATCACTGCGCGGAAAAAGTCAACGAGACAACTCTGTATGTCACTTGTCAAAAAACGACCAACAACCTTCTATCACGTACTACTGCTCTAGTGCAGACAGGAGAACGTAAGCCCCACGCGTTCCGCCCACTTTCGCGCTGGGCTACACTCTCGGTTACAGCTCGAACGCTATCCGGTCTCGGTGAACCGCACTACATAAAGCTGCGCGCAACATACACGACGGGCCGAACCGAAGGATGCGACTCGGTCGCAAAGATGGCGACTATTTCACGGCGCGGGTCTTGACATCAGCAGAGGGATTCTGCTGGACATTTAACTGGCAAACTGCAGGCAAATTGAGCATCATCGACGGGCCCCGATTATATAGATCGCAGACCAATAGTGAACTCCACACGGTAGACGCATACCCTTTATTGCACTTAGGTATCGCGTGTATGCACAGAACCGTCTGGCCAATGGTACTCTTGTATTTTCATGTAACCTTTCGAACATCAGTGCTCTTATTGGTTCACTAGTTTTCTATCGGGATATAGTTAATGAACCTACGACCGTGATGAACCTTGATCTATTAATATTGTAATTTCTAAAATCTTATACAGAACGAAGAAATTAGATTTATTAGAAATTAGAATGTTAATTAATATAATTGTAATAACCTTAAGTCTAGTTCTCAATTCGTTATAAGTTGCCCTCTAGAGACATTTATAGAAAGTAATTTCGATTAAGTTGAAATGGATAAGCAGCATTTCTGTGTTAAATTTTTATCTATGCCTTTAAGAGTCAAAACACGTGCACCTTCATTTAGGTCAACAGTTGGAGTAATGTCAAAACCTTGTAACGATTTATAATTTATGCACTGAATAATTTTACTTGTTCCAAGTGTCTATTAATAAAATTTTAATCTCATTTTATTTAATAATATCTAGCTACGAAAAACTACGAACGAAGGAATTCAGGGTTATCGTAGTGTAAACAAAGATTCAAAATTCTTTAACGAAGATGGCGGGGAAAGAACAGTTCGATGAATTCTTAGGTGGAGCACAAAAACTACCAAATGAAGTTCATATTATGAAACTTGTCTCTTCGAGAGCTAGCGAAATTGCTGCAATGACATATTCTATAGGTATGGTACACTATAACTGTTTCTTTAATTGAATTATATTTCCACCTATAAAATACCGAACAATAGTCTACTATATGTTATTAATATTTTATCATACGTACATTTAATTATTTGCAGAAAATCCTCAACAAACGAAACTTGTATTTCAAAAGCTTCCCATGTACATGCGCAGGCGTGTAATGTCTCACAACGTGAAGCGCTTGCCGCGCCGATTACGGGAGGCACATATGAATCAAATGACTAAATCCGGTTTGCCACCCAAAATTAAAAGACCGTCGCGTAGGTACCGCAGAAGACCACGAAATTTACTTTCGGAATATAATAGAAGACAACGAAACAAACTTTGGTTGGAGACTCATATTTGGAACGCGAAACGTTTTCATATGGTAGAAAAATGGGGCTACAGAATCGCGAGTCACGCAAACGACAAATGTTTCAAAGCAAATTACCGTGCCGTTGCGAAGCATTGCTTGATGCAGGATATTTCGTACTATACATGCGTTGAGATAATTGGACCTGAAGGGACTCTGAAGGAAACTTTAAAGAATCATTGCAATCCACTCGAGTTAACGTTCGCCGCAAAGATTTTCATTTCCGGTACAAGAGAGGGCACGTTAATGTTTTTTAAAATGAATGGTTACCCCCAATTTCCAATTGGTCACGTCCACTTCCTTTGGCGACCAAATGGTAATTCCAGTTTTAGAACAATTTGGATTTGGGTACATCCATCGTTTCTCGATGATTTTATCAATGAAATTGTATCCAGTTTCGACTTCAAATCGGATCATACAGATTCTAAATGTACAAATAATCAATCCATGAAACCTACTTTATATTCTAATAACAAAAACTGTAAAATGAATATTCATAAGAATGCTCTAAACAGATTTCGTTTTTATGGTCCTAAAACATTAAGTGTCTTAACAGAAACGTTAAGGTTGCTGAATGTAGATGAAAAAGTTTGTACCATGAGTGGAACTGAAGATGAAAAAAATCAAATGGAGTGTGAAGAAGAGGTTCAAGACTCTAATAAATTATGGCATAAGGATTATTATAGTAATCAAGAGAATATTGAGTCATTAAAAATTCAAAATCAATTGTGGGAAGTGTTGAAGACACTACAATCATCTAGTCAATTGCCACCAAATATTGTTGTTGGATTTACGGTCCTAGATCCCAGATTTTACCTGCCTGAGAAAAGAACAAAACCTCAAATAGATATTTCCAGAACGATTGAACTAATGCCAATGCCACCTACGAATGCTAATTCAAGCCCAATTTGGGATGATGAAATACGACAGAAAGTTACTAAGGCATGTGTAACTACAAGTGTCATTAATAAACTTAGAAGTAAATGTTTAGTTCCTGGTATAAATAATGATAAATATTTTAATGAAGATATCATGGCCAAGATACCCATACTTTTAATTCAGAAACCAGGAATTGGTAATACAGGTACTATAAAACTGCATCTTAATTTATTTATGAGATATTAGAAAGCATTTAAAATTAATATAAATGTTGTGTTAATAGGTTTAAGTTCAGCCATAGACATCATTCTTCCAGTAGGATGGGCAATGCCATTCTGGCTTGCTTGCATATTTCGTTGTGTGAGAGTGGGTGCACTCAGGGAAACAAAATCTGTTGCATTCGAGTATGGAAATATAAGATCACCAGATATCAATGATCCAGATACATCTGCTTACACAAGAGAAGCATTGAATACTAAATCAGAATTGAAAGAAAAATATTTGCACTACCCACCAAATAGACGTGTGAATTTTATTAAGCTTGGAATCTCGAGCCCCTTCTTTTGTGAATGGAGAATTCTAATGAAAGAATGGACAGGCGTACAAGACTTTTTTGTGTTACGAAATCGTAAATTATTACAGTTATTGCAAGAGAATTTATCACCTGAAGAAGGTAACAGAAATAAGCAGATTAAAGCAAACAGATTCAAATCAGATCTTGATTTGGACAGTTCATTTGAAAGTAGAAATTGCTTAATACGCGTTAAAGTGTCCGTTTTACAAAAGGGGTGCCCTAGGAGATTTGCAGTAATCTGTATGCCAACATCTGAGGATGTAGAAAAGTACAAAAAGAATAAGAATTGGTCAGGACCTGTAGAAAAATTGAATCCTGACCCAAATGAAACTATTAGGAAAACTTTGAGAAAGAACCACTTGGCCCTTTTAAAACGTTTAAAAAGACAGAGAATACGACATAAAAGAGCAATAACTGATAAACTAAGTCAAATGTTAAACAAGGGTTTTCAAATCTTAAATCACAATAATAAGACAAAACATGTATTAGAAATAAGTCGTGAAGTAGTCCACAGACAATCGCAAAAAATGTCAGAGTTGTACCTTCCAGACTGTAAGAATGTAAGATACTCCTGTGATAGGGAGATCATGGGATATCTAACAGAAGGTGATTTTTCTTTTGCAGAAGCAAAAGGTGTAGGTTTAGGATATGTAACATTGAATTCATTAATGACATTAATTAATGAAAAATACTCTTTTGTTCTTGTTAGAAATACTCAAACAAGACAATATAGAATCACTAGATTGGAAATAATATCTTAGTAAATAAATATAATATTCCTTTTTTCTATTTTTTCTATCTGAATAAATAAGTTGTTATACACAATAATTTGTAGTTGAACCATGATTGTTGAGTATTCATAATTGTTATATGTAATAACATTTTTAAAAACCATTTGTAATTTTATTTATATACACGATAAATGAATTGTAAAAAATTACGAGTGTAATTATCAACATAAAGTTCTTACTGATATAAATTATAAAATAACGACACTATATATAAAATATAATTGCGTTCATAACTTCGATAACCTTGAATAGTGAGTCACTCAGTGCAAGTTTGCAAGGCGAATTGTTAGCATTAACTTTTCATAACAGTTGATTATTCTTCATTTTGCATAAGTTTATTGTAAAAGGCTTATACATGGCGAGTATAGCTGTTGTACGTATTTATATTATAAATTCGATTCTGTAAATCTGTAAATCATACACTTGTTGACATGTACATAAACGTTATTAAATACATTATATTCTAAATATACACTATCGTTTGTTAAATCGAACATGTAGGTAACTGGAGGAAATAAAGGAATTGGGTTTGCTATTGTAAGAGGACTTTGTAAACAATTTGATGGAATCGTATATTTAACAGCCCGCGATACCACCCGAGGATTAAATGCAATTAAAGAATTAGAGAAAGAAGGTTTAACACCAAAGTTTCATCAGCTTGATGTTACTGAAGAAAGCAGTGTTATTGTTTTCCGCGATCATCTGCAAAAAACGCATGGAGGACTTGACATCCTGGTAAACAATGCCGCTATTGCTTTCAAGGTATACCTTGTTTCATACATATTGTCCACTCCTTGAAAGTGTTTTACCTACTCTTTCTTTAAAATACAGGTTGCTGCTACAGAATCATTTTCTGTACAAGCTGAAGAAACAATAAGAGTAAATTATTTTGCTCTAAGGAAAGTATGTAACATACTTTATCCATTACTAAGACCTCATGCACGTGTGGTACATCTCTCAAGTAGTGCTGGTCGATTATCATTAATTCCGAGTGAATCATTGAGAAAACGCTTTTCCGATCCAAAGCTTACAGAAGAAGAATTAGATAACATTATGCGTGAATTTGTAGAGTAGGTTGAGTTACTACAATGTATTAAGTAATTTAGTATTCATTGAACTCAAAAACAAATGAATTTTCAGATCTACAAAAGCAGATACTCACTTGAAAGATGGTTGGGCAAATTCTACCTATGTTGTAAGTAAAGTTGGAGTGTCTGCTCTAACTCGAATTCATCAAACTATATTCAACTCAGATCCCCGGGAAGATCTTGTGGTAAATGCTGTGCATCCTGGTTATGTAGACACTAATATGACTAGTCATAAAGGAACTTTGACACCAGATCAAGGTGCTGAAGCTCCTTTATACTGTGCATTACTACCAGAAAATACAGATATAAAAGGTAAATATATTTGGTTTGATAAGTCACTGGTGGAATGGACAAAAGATGCATAAATGCACACATTACTGCAGATTTAATATTGCTTTTTTTTGTACGTGGTATATGTGATACAATTCAATGTAAAAGATTTTCTGCGCATTTAATAATTACGTTTTTTAATCTTATATGTAAGTTCACTTTACATACTTATAAATTCTCAAATTCATCACTTGTATACTTATTGTGTATTTTTTTTTATTTTCCTAATAAAAATAAATCAATGATTTCTTTAAATCTAAGAATCCTATAAACTATCTTGCTTGCACTGCTGCTTCTTTGCGAGCAGCATCCTGCAACAACTGGGTGTCCACTTCATCTCCTGGTAATTGTACATACCGTACCACTGATCCTCTAATGAAACAATTTTTTACTGACAACTGTAAAATAATATTATTGCATATAATATTATAATCATTCTTTATATGATTTTTAATAACAAGTATTACAAACCATGTGAGGATATTTATCTGGATCAGTTACACTTATATCTGTCAATTTTATATTTAAGTACTGATCAACAGAGTGCAGGGTGCCACAAATGCTAAAAATGAAAAATTCTCATCAATCAGTGGCTCTTACTAAAAATCTTCATAAAATGCTACATTTTATTTAACAAATTACCTGAGGTCATTTTTTAATTCCACAACAACATCCTTACCGACCAAGGACTTAAAAAACGAATAGAATAACTGAAAAATACAAAAATCAATTTCATTGAAAAAATAAAGGTTATTCCGCTAAACGATGAAAGAGTGAAGTATTAAAGATTACTTCTAACTACCGGCAGAAAATCGGTGTGATGATTAGTGATGACAATTTGTTTGGAAATGTCAGTGTGCACGTTGCTAAATAAGTTTGTTAATGGATGTTAAGTTCCAGATATCTTTCGAGTGTTACGCACAACTTTGGTTCGAAAGTGATATTTTTAAATATATAATCGAACGCTACGCGCTAATCAATAAAATTATAGATAAAAGATAGCAACCAAAACACAATTTCATAATTTTACACTATATAAAATATTTCAATTGTATCGGATATTTCATTTGCTCGTGTTGCTCTTGTTCATTGGACCTGTCCATCGGCACCTAGGACGCCACCAATCGTTCTTTGCATGGTAGCTTGAAGAATACCATCAAGGTTGGTTTTTCAATAATCTTTCGTCGAAACATATTTTAACATACGTCAGATCTTGCACATATTTTTAACATATCTAAATAGAAGTTTGTTTAATTACTTATGAAATGATTGTAACGTGCTGTTCGTACAGGAAGATCACCGTTTAGCGGTTGGTAGCAGAAGGGCGTTGACATTTAATCAAAAAGGCGAAACGAGAAGATGCGTCTGTGACATTAATTCGCCAGTAGCAACCCGATCGGATTCGTTGTTACTCCTGATCTCTCATGAACTAATCGGGGAAACATGTCAATTAATTTAACGAAAAATAAAGACGCACTGGTGGCCGCTTGGCACAGCGTAGTCGACGATAAATCGTCTACTAACTGGTAGGCTTACATCTATCTTCCTTCATTGTTACATTTTATCGTTCCGGCTATGCACTAACGTCATGCAACAAACCTACTTGTTCAATTAAATTCCGAAATAAATCGTATTTCTATATTTAGAAATTATTCTTTATACTACAATGGACTGATATAAATAACACTGGGTACACAATTACCACTTACTGTCATAAAACTTATGTTCTGTAAGATTTAATGCACACAATGAAGCATTGAACAGGTTTTAAAAATTAAGAATGAATGTTAATTTGAAATTAATAAAAATATAACTTTCTGAAGTATACTTTAATTATTATTGCTTCTACTATGAATTTTATATACAATTGATGGTAATTAACAGCATTGTTTGTATCAGTATTTTGGTCATTGTTTTTAATTGTAATGATAATATGAGTCTCAATTAGGGCTGTATTTGGATATGAAGGACAAACAAACAATTTAAAGGTTGTTGGAACTGGGAACGGTGGTTTGGAGGAGATGATTGACCGTTTAAATAGTAGTCATATCATGTATGCCTTTTGTCGAGTAATAGACACTAAGACAAGCCTTCCGAAATGTCTGTTAATAAATTGGGTAAGAATCAAACCTTAATGAGCCTTATATATTCATAGTATGTATTAAACTTAATATTTATTTCAGCAAGGAGAAGGTGCTCCAATACTTAGAAAGGGGACATGTGCAAATCATATTAGAGATGTAGAAAAATTACTGAAAGGTGCTCACATAACAATTACTGCTAGGTCTGAGGATGATGTAGAAGTAGATTCTATTATGGAAAAGCTAGCCAGAGCAACTGCATCTGCCTACAAATTTAATGAGCCCAGAGGGGAGAACGAAGGTAATGCAGGTCCAGTTGGTACCACATATCGAAGGTGGGTATCTTCATTTTCTTTGCAATATAATCATTAAATTTTTACCCTAATGAGAATTTGGTTCGTAGAGTCAACCCTGAACAAGAAATAAATGCAATTGAACGCGACCAGTTTTGGCAGAAAGAAGAACTGGAAGAAAAAAAAAGATTAGAACAAGAACGTATTAAATCTGAGGCAGAACGTCAGCGCCTTGAAGAAGAAGTTAGGATGAGAGAGGAGAAAGAAGCTATGCTTAGAGAACAACAAGTAAATATATATATTGAGGAACTTAAATTCTTAAAACAAAATGTTTTACTAATGGAATTTCAATTTTTTCATAGGTCACTGCCAAAGAAAATTCAATAGCTCGTCAGAAGTTGGCAGAACAACGTGCGGAGGAGGCAAATAATATACGTAATCAGATTGCAGCAAGTCAACATTACAGCAACGATGTCGAAGATGATCATAAGTCGCGAAGCGATGAATTGCGCCGACAAAGGACTAAAGAAACACAACAATTAATTGCTCAAAGAACAATAAATGCCCGAGCAGTTTTTGAGCAGAACTCGGCTGCCGGTCAGATGAAATCTACCTCGGTACAGCAGCAATATGTACAAAAGAATAATCATGTGGAGGCGGCTAAGAAAGCGCTTGAAGAGACTCAGCAAAAGGTAATACCTCATACTACAGCACAAGAAGAAGTAAAGACTGAAGTAAATAGTGCACATAACTCGGAAGTAGCTACGAATTCTGCTATAAATATACCTGCAACTCAAAGTGAACCTGTGGAGTCCAATGCAACTGAGCCACAAGAAGACTCTGAGCAACCATCAGCGACGAAAGAAGCAGTTACTGAAAATGAATTGTACAACCAAATGGATGGACAATATTTGTACTTCGATCCAAACAACGAAGGAATGAAAGCAAGAGCTTTGTATGATTATCAAGCTGCTGATGATACAGAAATTACATTTGATCCGGGTGACATTATTACACACATAGATGCCATTGATGAGGGATGGTGGCAAGGTCTCGGACCTGATGGAACTTATGGACTTTTTCCCGCTAATTATGTTGAAGTTATCGAGTATAACACAACATGATAAAAAACAAACTTGTGAAAATAGAATACCTTTTCTTCTGATTGAAAAGAAACAGTACTTGCTTTTTTATATTCAAAAGGTGATTCAGTATTTTCGTTGTTCTGGTAACATCGCATTTTCCTTTGAATACTGAACTTACAATTCAAAGGATTTAGGTACAGTGTATTCTAAAGAATGTAAACGAGTAGTGCGTACGTATTTATAATGAAGGAGCGAATTATGTTTTAAAAATTTGATGCACGCTCATTAACGAAGGAATTTAATACGTTTAATAATAATTATGCAAGGAACGATAATTGTTAATATTTTAGCGAATAAGATTTTCAACTTTCATAGTCTTGCAATGCCAATACATAACGAATGGCGAAGTACGTCTTCCCATGTTTAACGTCACAAACGAAAATTGAATTAGCTGTAAACGAATATATGTTTTTATAACATTCTCTGTCGGAAGTCGACGTGATTGTAAGGATAGCATATTTAATAACTTAGCGAACACCCTTTAAATACCTTTACAAAGTGTAATAACTACCTATTTAGGAACATGTTTAACTCTTTAAACAATAAATACTTAAATTTGTTATAGTATTTGGTGGTGTTCTATATCTGCAATATCCTATGAATTTAAATAATTTTAGTTCTATTCTATAAATATTTTATTTTATGTGGGTGTTGAAATTTTTGTATTAGTAAGCAATTTCAAATCAATTGTATTAAACTTATTTTACTATGCGATATAGAAATTTTTACAGGTAAGTGATCTTATTGAAATAAAATAGAATCACAATATCGATGATATATAAATAAAATAAGTGAAATCATCTGCGATAATTTTGACTCTGATTTCCGCTTCCACCGCCTCCCGCGTGACTTAAAAATGCTAAATGACCTTTTGGACATTTGTTGGCATAATGACCCTTGGTTCCACATTTGTAACAAGTGACTTCTTCCAGGGGTTTCTGTGGCCCTCGTGGAGGTGGTCCATTGTGCATGTTCATATGATGAGGTCCATGAGAATTACCTTCTATTTCTTGTCTAACTTGAGCTTCCCTTACATCAGGTGGCATTTTATTGCAGTAAATTGCTTTGTGACCACCCTCTCCACAAAAGTGACATGTGATCATTACTTTCTTTCCTTCTTTAGGTTGCATATCTTGTACAGCTGGTAATTCAAATCTTGGACTGAAAGTTTTAGTAAGTATAGATTACAATATTGTTTAATTGAAATTGAGTATTTCTTAAACATGAGGATGATAATCTTACTGCATGAATTTGCAGTTTGGTCCCTCAGGACAAAAGCCAGCTAGATATGCCATACAGAGAACACGTCGTACGTGTCTGTGTCTACATAATGGTCCATGCCTACAAAATCCACGATCGTACCAAGGACAATCTCTAACTTTAGTTTCTGGGTCAATGTGTAAAAATGGACATTCCTTATTGTGACAGGCATCTAATAATTCATAACTGATTTAAACATACCCATATTGAGAAAACTTAGCAATATCATAGAAAGAAAAATATTAAATATCTCAAAAGACACAAGTGTTCAGCAATTATTTATATCCTTGCATGGAATAATAAATAATGCACTTACTAAACCTAGAATAAAAGTAACATTCTGGCATTTTGGTCATGTCGTATTCGTGTAAGAATTCACATTGATCACCCTTTTTACAAAGACCTCTTAGCCAATGTTTACATACTATTGTACGGTCTCCTCTGACATGCCTAAATGGACAAGAAGCACCTTTAACACAGGTACCTCTTGGATAAAATTGACATACTGCAGCAGTGGATTCTACAAACGATATTAGAGTAGTTAGATGAATTCAAGCAATGAAAAATAAGCTGTATAAATATAAATTAAAAGATTGAGGATGTTGTTGAAATGTTGACATATCATTCATTCATTTTATGTATAATTCATTCAATTTCATTTTACTAGACACAAATCAGCAAAGTTTGGTGCGTTCATGGTTTTTAACACCTTGCATGATCTCTATCTTATAACCTAAAGGAGAGTACATCGGTGTACACTACAAAAACAATTACGTACTGTCCATTCCAGTAAAAGGTAAAGGAAGAGCTCCATATTGTTCGTCAAGAGCAACTTCAATATCAAATCGCATATGATCCACGCTCGCCACTATACACTCCATTATTATTTTAAATTTTGCACAACAATCACAGCCAACTGTACTCGTCTACCGCTATATATAAACTGAAAACTTAATACGCATTTAACCCGTTCCACGATGGAATATTTATGTTTGGCTCTGGACATACATTTTGGCTTTATTTTTATAAATTTTCTATTAAAAAATATGCCTTATTTACACCGTTTATTGGTTAAACGAAACTGTAGAGACTCCAACTTCTCATACGCGCCAACATTCTCTTTCACGTGTACTATTGGTACTGAAAGCGTCATTGTAGTTAAAATTTCAAGTCTTTTTATTAGTGGCGCCATTTAACGGCAGGAGTATGGTACTAATTGGCTATTAGCTTGGACGTTTTTCCGTCGATGGCGTCCTAAGTCAAAATGTCAAATTATCATTCGTTTTAATAGTTTGTTGAAATATTTCAAGTTCTATCAATATTAATAAAATTGATAAACTTTACATGTTTCTACAATAAACACAGTCTTCATTTTAAGTATCTTTATCTAGATCGTAAGAAATTAAAGGGACGGAAAAATGAATTTTATTATATTATGATATTACTTGTACTTAATTTAAATATTTTGTATCATACATTCTTATATTTTTCAAATATTTTCTGTTTTATGTTTAGTATTAAAGTATTCTAAGTTTCATGTAAGATAGAAAATTCACCAAAAATGTCCGATCTCATATTCATTCTTGTAATTAGAGAAATAAATTTTAATTTTGCAGCCATTAGCTTGGCACTGTCTTCGGTTTACAATACTTTACCGAAGATAATACCCATTGCCCAGATCTCACCACGAGGAGGTTGCTTGCGCGTGGAGACCCAAAGGAAGCTAGGTGGAACTCGATCCCATCAATGTAACCGAAGTTACATCGATGGAATCATTATTTTTATCTACCTACTTGTTTACATAAAGCTACAATCGTTTTAAAATTAACTAGCTTATATTTATAAACTAACATAATTAATAGGCTTTTATGTTGATTTCCCTCGGCGGGTGTCATAAGGCATAAGCCTGAAGTACCTCGAGCATTATTGCGTCAAAAGAGTCCCTTGCATAATTCGAAGGGTTGGCACTATAATCATCTATTTTCGCGCATCCATGCGTGTTTTTATTGGGTCAGAAGCACGGCAACTTCTTCGTGTCCCTATTGTGCAGAGGTTGGTCGAAGTCAAGTGATTTCGGTAACTCGACGCCGTCTTAATGGCACCACCGGAACTTCGTATTTACCTTGAGATTCCGGCAGCACTTGTTCATTTAATCAAGTCTAGTGCCGCGGTAGATATCACGTCGGTGTATAAATTTTGGCTCTGTTCCAGAGAACAGGTAGTTTTTATTAATCTGCAGAAACAACCCGCTTGAAGTAGGTTTAGCTCAGATTTTCTTTAATGTTCTTCAGCTAACAGCTTGTCATTCCATCATTGGCCTTAGAAAACATCCATACTATCGGTAAATTAAGACCTCATCTCAAGGTAATTGTAACAATTAACAGAAACGTGGCAGCGTGGTTGGAAGAAATTCTGCACGTGCGAACAGAATTCATCTTCGTTCGTAACGGCGAAGATACGATCGTTTTTCCGTTGGTCTTATCGTAGCTTCCGTTTTTCCCGAGCGTATTTTATCAGGCTGCGTTCTCCGTGGAATATTTACCGATCTTCTCGAGACCCAGGCTCGCGAAACTCCAGTTTCTTTTTTCCTCTCTTTATCCAGGAGAAAGAGCGTGAATGTTTGTGCGCTTGAAAATTGTACGTGACATTTTATGGTATATCTAGTGGTCTAGTGAATACACGTTCATAAATTTTTCGATTATTTTATAGGAGGGAAAAGTACGCAGCTCCGCGAGTTTGCTTTAAATAAGGGTTGCGAATGATCGACGAGGAAACTGTTATAATAATCTTTAATCTTGAGAAAGATGGATCGAAATTTTCAAGATTTCCGGGCTTCTTTTTCTTTAGCCCATGCATTTTTAAACGAGCTTATTTTTCGTCACTGTTCCACCCATTTCTCTGCGGTTCCGATGCAATTTATTCTGACGGTGAATCACAGCACATCGTTATAAAGATCCGCGTGTAATCAGTACTTTAGACTAACACATTTTTTTATACAATAGTTAATATTGCAATTTAATTTACAAGCTTCTATACCAAACGATACCATTAAAAATGGAAGTTCGAGTTCCGGGTAAGATTGACCTATTCAGTGTTCCACTATATTCCACGAGCGTAAGATTTTATTTGGTCCCTATCGTTGGCCATCAAGTGTTTCTGTACAATATCGATTATTCTTCAACGAGGGGCGAGATGCCTACACGGGGCGAAACTTTCCAACCCAGGTTTGTGTCTATTAAATTTGGAATCACGTCGGTGTTCCCTGGATAAACTGGAATACCTGAAACTTCAACATTCTCCCGTAGGAACCACCTATTCCCCCCCGACCGAAAGGCAACACGTGCACTTTACAGATTATTGCGTGCAACGGTGTTTCCGGCCGAAATCTCATAGACGGTTCTCGCTCGCCTCGATATTCCCCCATTAAAACATTTGTCGCGTGTAACGAGCCGTGAATAAAATCATTCCGCCTCCGCGGCTCTTCCCGGGGCCACGATGGTAACCGTGTTTCCCGGGCGAACTTTCGCTGAAATTATTAATACGAGCCCGCGGAAAGTGGGCCACGGGAGTTTTCCGCGATCCATTCGACGACGTTTTATTGCCGGAACTCCAACCGAGTCGCGATAGAATCAACGACATTAGCGTGAAATACGTCGTTCGAACCGCGGAGAAAATTTGTAATCCTTTCAGAGCGTGGTAAAGCTGCTTTTTGTAGTGCGGAAACGCGGAGCCATCGTCTTTTGGGGTATTAACGCTTGAATAGGGGGGGCTGGTTTAAATGGTACCGCGGGAGTACCGTTGTCTGTGAGTTTTTGAAAATTGGTTTTAAGCCTGAGGAACTACAGTATATTGAAAGACATAGTAATACGTCAGCGGTTGTTAATGTGTATTAACCGAAAACCAGTTAGGAGAATAACGACATTTTAAATAAGGAGGGCAGTACAGGTAACCTCCGTATAATAAGGTGGTTCGGATTCCTGGAAATTGTCCTTGTGTCAGGCGAATTCGTGGTACAGTAAATTCTCTATGAGTGTTCGAAGGCTCCCCGGCACTGAACATTAAATATTTCATAAACTAATGGCCATGCGTGGCTGAAACAAATATCATTGGCTTCAGAATTCCAAGTTCTATCACTATGCCGAACCTTGGTAAAAAACTAACGTTACACCTGGGGACCTCTTCTTGTTAGCGCGAGACTCCGCCGATTTCAGGTTTTCTTCGAATTACTATGAACGTGGATGGTCAGGCGCGTCGGCGAATTAATTTCCAACGCAAGTGGTTAATAAATACTATTATAGGACCGTATCACATCGCGGTCTCGACGCATCCTCGTAACGTGGTCGTGTGCGCCGTACCCTCAAATGGTGCACCTTTGCTACACGTGCGACCTTCATTCGAACACGGCGGCGGACCAACGCGTTTGTGTATCGGCGCATCCACGTGCATGGGAGCGTTGTTACGCGCAACCCTCGGAACAACGAACATAGACGATCATAGAGAGAATATGCGACGATCCGTGGTGGATTACACACACGATACACGCGTGTCAGTAGTGAACAGTATATGCAGATAAAACTTTTTTAGAAGAATAACAAATAATTCCGGTTACGTAGGGTTACATTATTATTACCGATTACTTATTTAGTTTATTTGTGGGCCAATTATACCTACATATTATAAAGACGTAATTATGAACATGAATAGAATGGAACAAAGAGATGTTCACGTTACATGGTGCGTGAAAGTGATCGAGATTCGTAATATTTGCAATTATATCGGCGATCAAGCGACGGTATTCATTTTCCTAAAACTAATTGAATCGGTATGGAACGAAAAAGAAAAGCAGATCGAAACGGCAGTCCTCGTAATTACCGGCGTAATTCGACGGTGGTTAATGGCACCACGGTAGATTCTTCGAAAAAGTATTAAACGTGCTGTTCAAGCCCGCGTACATTTTGTATAATCAGCTTACATGGCCGAGGGAGCCATGCCGTTGCACGCGGAGCGTGTTCCGCGCCGATATCGACGTTAACGGATGCATTTTGCACGCTTAATAACCGCATTACGATTCACGGGTATAATGCCCGTGCCGCCGATGCGATTTAATCGAATCTACCGGTGTTGACTGCCTGGCCACCGCATTTGTGCGCCACCTTCTTTCATTTTTTGTTATAACGATTTCTAATCTGTGATTAATCGTGTCGAGGTACATTCAGGAAAACGTAGGTTTCATATTCAAGAGGATACTTAGTAATTTTGTTTCTCTGAAGATCGCTCAGTGCACTCGGCAAAATTGGCCCCGATGTTCATATTATCGCGGAAATTGCGTTCATTTTCAGTTTAGGAGATGCATTCCGAGTTTCTGCTATGGAATATTACACCATCTCCGCCTGTTACGAATTTCCTCTGCTTTCAGAATGTTTCGAAGCTCATTAACGTTATGCCAGTCGGTATTTTCGTACGGCGAAGGCAAGTGTGACTTATAGTGAAATAGTGGGTGTATTATCCGGGAAACGGGGGCGAGGAATGCGGTACGAGTGATAGTATTGATCCGAACCTTTTGTCATTCGTCGAGATTTTCCTTTCGTTTCGCGCTGTTAGGCTGCCGCAGTGAATCGTTCCAGTTCCTTTGTCGATCGATACCGTTTCCTCCTACTTTAAGTGAACTAATCTCGCTCTCGGACTAGACCCGAGCCTACTTTTTTATATCTGATCATCTTGGGCTCGAGTGAAATTTGATAAGTGGGATAAACTGAATAGGAAAATATTCTCAGATATTGGTATCGTAGTCGACAGTTGCCTTTCAGTTTCAATCTTGTTTCTACAAAGAGTGATATTTTTAGCTCCACTGAATATCACATTACGGTTTTCTCTTCTGTTTCCTGTAATTCTAGCTTCGGCTGCGTGTGTTGGCCAGGTGGATTTTTTTTTCTGTCGCGGATAAACGAGACGTGACCGCTGGGTACCTCGCGTGATGCGCGTGCTTTTGCATTTCCAACGCAGTGTCATACGCGGAACTGTGCACAGTCGCTGGCCGAGAACGTGCCCGCGTTAGACAGAATCCAGAAACACGAAACGAGTTCCTGTTGCAAGTGCCATACCGGAGAGCTCGGTAAACAACGTTGCCAACGGCATATTGCGCTGCGATGCATCCGTCCCTTGGCGAAAACACGACGACGCAGCTCGGACGTTTCGCTCGAAATCTCGTTGAATTGCGACTGTTTTCGTCCGGGAGACCGAACGCGTTTCTACGGAAAAATACTTTACAAATCGGTACCGACACGGTTTAATATGTCACTTGGTTTAATAGGAATAATTTCCACGATTTTGAAGGTCAATTTCACAGTTTTTATGAATTTATCAATTTTCGTATTTTCAATATATTTAATTTTTGTATTCTATACTTTGTAATATTATCTATGTGCATTAACAGCTGAAACAATTCCACTTGCCTAACTACAAACAGCCAGTTCGGATGGTCTGATCATAAGCATCTTATACTACTTGACCGAGCGAGACGGCGTATTGCTCCTGTCAGCAGACCTAATTATTCGACTTGTCTGATCATACCAGACGTATTCCACTTGTATGATCATACTAGGCTTGTTCTATTTGTCTGATCATACTAGGCTTGTTCTACTGGTCTGATCATGGGCGTTCCATTGTTAAAGTTTCCTGGAAATACACAACCTCTGCATGATTCATACAAGTAATTTGGAAATTATAGTCAGCCTGACCCAGTCAAGCAAAACAATTTGACAAGCTGTAATATTATATTTCGGCTTTCTTTCACCATAAAAAAGACAAATATTCTCTGCATCCGATGTTTACTTGTTTTTTTCAGAGATCCCGGAATTATAAACGTATGGAGGGATCAGTGCACGGGTAATAGAGTACTCGTGCGACGATTTTTATCCTCTCGGAGTCCCATTGAAACGAATTCGGCCCGTAACAACAGGAGAAACTACGAGTTTCGATGGTGAAAGAGCCCCAGAAACGAGAGGTAACAAGTGGGAGTGCCGTCGTAAAAAAAAAAGCGATGGACTCGATGCTAGTTTCGTTTTTACGAAGACGCGACACACCGTCTCCCGAGGCTTCGTTTCGCCTTATTAAAAAAGCAATTACCCCTCCGGCTGGTAATTGAAGCATATTTCTGTAAAAGTATCGCGCATACAATTGCCCATCCCCCGAACGGTGTGGCCCGTTTAATGCTCGTAACACCGGAAATTTATCGTCAGCCATTAGTACCGACTACGGTCTCTGTGCGACGGTAAATCAAGAAAGTAATTCCCGTGAAACAGTGTACACAAGTTTTTTGCGGTCCGCGAAATGATAATCGAGAATCGACCACGGTAAGAAGTTTAACCATGACTAATTACACATCGTCCTTCCTGAGGGACTAAAAATTAGCACGATTTACTTGTCTCCAGGATCAATTAGAGTCAATTACAGCCTGCTTCTAATTGCCCTGCTGCTTTTAATCTTTCACCGTCTCTCGAGTCACGCAAAGATCTGGGGCCAGGAGTGTTTCGTTTTTTTTTCTCATTCGTTCCTCTTGTTGCTTTTGCTCTGTTCTGTAATTTGTACCGGGAAAATCGCCGATTGTTAACAATTTCTTCGTTTGATTGATTCCCCGACCAGGCTGGTATGATTGATCTCTGTGTCGAATCGATCGCGTGTCGAACGAGGTCACGAAAGCAATCGGTTTCCGTCAGTCATTCGAACTTCCAACGTTTGAACTATTCCTTTCCTCCTTGGGTAAACAGTTTGTTCATAAGAGCTCAGCTTATTTTTTCCCACGTTTTTTGTTTTTCATCTTCACGCCCCACGGTTTCTTATAGGGGTGGAACAGATGGTTTCTCGAACCAGTCGACGACTTGCTCGGCTCTGGCCGATATTATCGAAACCCCATTGACCGTTCTAGCAATCCCACGAACTACTATGCCCAGGTTCTACGTGTACTCGTTGCATTTTTCCTGCCGTAAACGTATCAGGCAGACTTTTTATATCGGTAACAAATGTACAACACCTGTGTACTTTAGACAATGAATACCTCGAAAACGAAGCCACGAA